CTTCCCTTCAAGGCTCAGGGGTCCAAGATTATCTTCTGTGTCTGTGTTAATTGGTTTCCCTTTTCTTTGTTGAAGAGGGTCTGTGCAGTCCTTTTGCCTAGTCTGCCATCTTGCGGGAACTCCCTCAAAGATACCTTTTTATAGTTGGTTTATTTGATCAGGATCAACAAGGCCCATACATGGCATTTGGTTATTATTTCTCAATCTATAATGGCCCTTTCTCTCTCCTTTTCAGGATGATTATTTATTTAAGGAATTGGGTTATTTGCCCTATAGAATTCTCATTTTGGCTGGTTGATTCTTTGTATGTGTTTAACATACTTTTCTACCCACCAAATTTCTTAAAATAGCCTCCCTTTCTTGTTTGTTTCTCCTGCTTGAGTCTTCACCTATGCTTTTACTGCCTTATTTATTGTTAGTTCCACCTATTCTGATTTCTCCCCAGAAATTACAGATTTCTCCATCACTGACTGTGACTATTGCTTTTCTTTTTTGTGTCCTATCAAACAGAATGTGAGATATCACTTTTTGGCTTGAGACTTTTAAGTCAACAGTGCCTTCTACCAAAACTACAGGTCGTCCTACTTCATCTAATACTTTGAAGGGCCTTTGTAGAGATTGGAGTTGCTTCCACAAGACAGTTCCCCATACAGTAGTAATACTTAAGGACATTGCATTAGTATCATGTTGCTCTGTCAGACCACCTCACATCATTATTCACTAGTCTGTCTCGGCCATAAATCTGATTAATTTTACCCATGCTGCCAGTGATTCCACTGAAACTTTGCTTGTTAGTTCATTATTCAGGACTTGGAAGTTACAGGAAAATGAGGGATACGGTTTGGCTTATAGACTCAGCATAGTGAGAAAGCCAGCATCATGAAGTGGACAGAAGGCTGTCCTCAAACACTGAGGTCTGTCAGTGTGTACATCTCTCTTTTTTAACTTTTTACTGTGGTTTGGGTCATGTCTCTCTTGCTTTGGAGCTAAGCATCCTTTGTTTATCCTTGCAGTGCCACCCTACCTCCCACTCTTAATTAATTCTTATACTTAGTATGAAATATTTTTCCTGTAATTCATTTGTATCATATTCTAGATTCTGTTTTTTAATCTTTTACAGTTACTAAACCAAGGAGATCTAACTGAAAGACGGACATGAGTGTGGGTGCTAACTCCTGGCAGAGCAGCTCTATCTGATTCCAGGGTTCATGCCGTGGGAACAGGATGCTTACAGCTTATGAACTGCCGGAACCACAATGAATCTGTGAAGGACAAGACCCTGCCTTTGCCTCTGTCCATCTTCCCTGGCATACAAGATGAATCTGATCCAGAGAAGGAAGAAAGCAGTGACTATGGGCTGGGTGACTGTACCTACCTCTCGTCCCACTGCTACTTTGGGATGGATTCCTCCCAAAAGTGAATTTGGTTATGTGTTGGGTGAAGTTTCTCTGACTGTAGAGGGAAGTTTGCCTTTGAAGAGCTTTCATCCCAGACTCAGCTCTCTTCTCACATGGATGAACTAAGTCCTGCCACCAACCATAAAACTTCACCAGGAAGTTGAGCTTTCAAGATGCCTTGTTGCTTTGCAGAAGGGAGCAAATGTCAGTTCTGTTGTGACATTCTCCCTTTAGCAACCTGAGTACGAAACTCTGCCACTGGGCTGCAAAAAAATAAATTACTTGAATCTTCCCTTGGCCCAGGCTGAGGTTACTATCTTGTCCTGTACCTTGACTCGGTCACTTTGCTTTCTTCATTTATGAAACATAGTAAGTAGCATGTTAAGAGGGCTTTTTGTTTTGCTTTGTTTTAATTTAAAAAAATCACATGATTAAGAGCTTCAATTGTTTTCCCTTTAAATAAACCAAACAGCCCAGTCAGTTCTTTGGTTCCTTGTTTTTCACAAAATTTCTTTTCTTAAAAAGGAGATTAATTGCCCTTTAGGTAGGGCACTGATTTACCCTTAGGATTCCATGCTGGTAAAAGTGAGCTCAGGAGTCTTGGAAACATGGTCTGAGTATCCCCATCTCTAACTAGCAGAACCAGATGGTAGTAATCAGAGTATCACTCAGTTACCACCAGAAAGAGACTCTGATTCTGGAAAAATGGCAATAACAGCATAGAAACTTTTAAGTTTTTCCAGAAAGAGTTTTTAAAAATGTAAGGTGCTTCTGTTAAAATAACCAGTCTTGAAATCCTGTCTCTAAAACTCCTGAGAGAGAATATGTAACTACTACTAGTGAAACAAAAAGAATGCCAAAGGTGACCTACCAGTGGAGAATCACGGCTGCCAGGGAAGTTTGAGATTTGTTTAAAATCTTGTTTAAAACCTTCATCCCAAGATACACAGACACACACACCCCAAGCACCCGCAGAGTAACACATTCTAAACAGTAACAGACAGAACGGACTGGTTTTAATAAAGTAATTGTAGTTTTTAAGTCCTTAATGACATGCATAATCATCTGGTACTGTACAGACTGAAGTCACAGCAGTTACTTGTATTCTTAACATGCCAGTTTTTGCTTCCTGCAGCCTTACTTTCACGCTTGAGTAGTGGTTCTCAACCAGGGAAATTCTGCCCCCCAGGGGTCATTTGGCAATGCCTGGACAGCATTTTTAGTTGTCAAAACTTGAGGGGCTGGGAGAGTAGCAGAGTTCTACTGGTGTTTTAGTAGGTAGAGGCCAGGGATGCTGTTAAACATCCTACAGTGCAGAAGACAACCCCACCCAACAAAGAATGATCAGCCCAAAATGTCAGTAGTGCTGAGTTTGAGAAATTCTGAACTAGAAAATACAAACTTGTCCCCCATGGGCTACATCTGATCTACAGATGTGTTTTGTTTTGTCCACCAGTATTTCAAAATACCTTAATTACTTGTCAACGTGTAAATTTCTGGCTTCTGTTGAAAACATGGTTGACCTGGCAGTACTAGGCATCTATCTCAACAGGGTTTACACCCTCCAGTTTCTACTGTCTCCTACTATCTGACATCTAGCCCACTTGACTCATGTATGTTTCCTATCTAGCCCCTCTGAGTGTGAGGCACAAAGCAAGATCCCTTAACTCTGGCCTATGATCCTTCCTCCCTGAATATCTCTTTTTTGATTTCCTTGAACCATTCTCCAAGAGTACCATGACTCAGAAACCCAAGTTTTGCCTGCCTTGTCTCAACCCCAGGTTAGTTTGCTTAACATCATTCAAAGGAGGTTATTAAAGTATTCTCATTAAGCAAGTGATTTGAGATTCTCTGGTGTTTCAAAAGACAGCTCCTCCAGTTGTTTCTCGAGGCTTGTAGACTGTTCTAGAGAGTTTTCCAAATTCTGCTGTGGATCCCTGATGCCGAGTTTCGTAATTTCATGGATGCTGCAGCATAAAGGAAAGCATTATGAGATGAAAAATTTAAACCTAAAGGAAACATAACATTTTCATTATTTTATATAGAGTGTAAAGGTAAATTTCCTGGAGAAAACTGAGAGAGAACTTAGGAGGGACCATTAGTATTCAAAAAAACAAAACCAAGAGTAATGGAGATCCTATGCTCTTCTCTCTGTGACTTATACAATATCAAAATGAGTTATGGAAGAGGTGGTGCTTTTAAGGAGTACTAGCCACTCCTTGGAAGGAAGGTTGGGCAATCCTACTTCCGTAGTGATACTGCCTCGGAAACCCAAGGAGGGGTCGCTACGAGTTGGGTTTGACTTGACGGCACATAACGACAACAAACAGAAAAAGTTCTAGTCATTTTACAGTGACTCAAAATATTTATAGCCTTTCTTCAAAAGGGAAGTGGAAATACTTTTGACTCATGGCATTGGCACTGGAATATTAATCTGTTTCAAATTAAAGGCATCTAAATCTAAAATATAGAATAGTTTTATTTTATTACTAACTGAACTACTCTAGTTCAAGTGTTTTGCTTGGAGATCTCTGGATCAGTCAGGACTGTGATTTGCAAGTATGGTTGTTGTAAAGGTTTCTCCCAGTGGCATTACTAGGCTTGGCAGCTTAGCTGCTAAATGGCAGCAGTGTCCCATTTCCTGGGGAAATCACTGACTTCTGGCCTCTTCCGTTGTTCAGTGCGGGTGCTCTGACCCTGGCTGCTCACAAAGTCTTCATCCAGGCCAGCCTGCTGCAGGGTGTCTCGATACCGTTGTTCTGCTGCTTTCCTGGCAAGGTCCTGTGGAACGGGAATGGATCTGCTGCAACTATTTTAGGAAATACCAAATTATCCTAAATTCTTTACCACTATTCTAACAATGCTGCTCCCTCTTCTTCCACCCTCCCCAACCCTTCAAGTGCAACTGGTAGTGCTGGGCACAGATTTAAATGAGAATTACTTCTTGTTCTTAGGTGCTGTTGTCACTGACTCATAGTGACCCTATTTACCACGGAACAACCATGTGGTCCTGTGTCAGCCTCACAATCCTTGCTATACCTAAGTCCATCCTTGCAGCCACTGTATTGATCCACCTCATTGAGGGCCTTCCCCTTTTTCATTGACCCTCCACATTATCAAGCATGATACCCTGTTTTCAAACCTTAATGTGCATATGGGGCACCTGAGGATTTTGTTAGCTATCAGATTCCCATTGGTAGGTCTCAGAGGGGACCTGCAGTTGGCACATTGCTAACATTCTCCCTGGAGATGCCAACTATTGGTCCAGGAACCGCACTTTGAGAAGAAAGGATTTAGATTTTGAGACAAAGTGAGACTTGGATTAATTAAAAATACTTATTTTTTTTTAAATTAAGATTTAAAAGCAACCAAGACATCATCAGGAACCTGAAAACAAACTAAAAGAAAATAAGCTGCTACTAATCCTCTCCACAGCAGGATGGGCGGCCTGCACAGAGACTAGAAGAGAAGTGGTGTGTTTTTGTTTCTTCATTTAAGTGATTAAGCACAAACTCAGAGAGTACTTTGTATTCTTCTTGTAATGGTGAAAAAGTTGAGATCTGAGAGTGAGCTTTCTTGAAACAAATTACCAAAGAGGAAAGGTTAGCAGAGATTTTTAACAAGTTGCTAAGTAAATCCAAGATAGGCCAGTGCATGTGCATGGACATGCATACGTGCATGCATGCATGCATACAGCATGGAGTGGAGCCAGAAAATGCGTGGATAATGCACTGCCTATAGGGTGGCCTACAGGGTGGGATGTATGGCTAGCTAATGCCCAGCAACTGGAACCAGGTCACTAGGGGACCCCAACTTTTGTCAGAAGCTTGGGAGAGAAGACGGATCCATAGAGTCTGTTATGGCCCAAAGCTGCCTAGATGGTGGCCCTTCTAGGCTGTTCAAGTAGTTCCCTGGGAGATTCAATTAAGTCCAACTTCCCTAAAAGTTTAAAAACTATTTTAAAATTATTCTTCCTGTCTGAAAAGTCACTTAATCTAGAAGGGGCTTTGTGGGGTGCCTCTAAACCTTAAATACCTTTAAATGTGCCCCAGCTCTAGAGGCCAGAAAGACCCAGGGGTACCAGGACTGCTAGAGGAGGGCTGCCTTCCTAGCAGTAGAGACTCTGCTTCTAGAATTAGACCCGTGAATAGTCAGGGTAAAGATAATCTTCAGAACACAGATTCACTGCATCTTTGGAATTTAGCCTCCACTTTGATTCAAACTGAAAGCTAGATTATAGGGAAAATTCTTCAGAAGTGAAATAGCCCATTAGAGATGCTACTGAGGTCCAGGTGTGGATGAA